CCCCGCCATGGCCCGGCGGAGCGCGCTCTCCATCCGCATCGTGGAGGGCAGGAACCTGCCCGCCAAGGACATGTGAGTGCCCCCGGGGAGCCGGGAGGGCTTCTGGGAGGGGGGAGGTATCCCCGGGAGGGAGCTCCCCTCCCCCAGGAGTGCTGTGGGGTGTCCCCCAGCAGGTCCCCGTGCTTTGGGGACACCCCCCAGGGTGGCTTTGGCGTGTCCCCCCCCTGCTTTGGAGGCTCACCCAGCGTGGCTTGGGGTCCTCCCAGGCGGTACCTGTGCTTTGGGGGTTCCCCCCAGGGTGGCTTTGGGGGCCCCTTGCATTGGGGGTTCCCCCCAGGATGGCTTTGGGTGCCCCCAGTAGCTCTCGGTGCTTTGGGGGCTCCCTCAGGAGTGCTTTGATGTCCCCCCCTGCTTGGGGCCACCCCCTGGGATGGCTTTGAGGTTGCCTCCCAGGAGCACCCAGTGTTGTGGGGTGCCCCCAGCAGTGCCTCCACTTTGTGGGGCTCCCCCTGTGCTGCCATGGGGCAGGGCTGCCCCCACCATGCACCCTCCACCTGCAGCTGGCCCTGGAGCTGGGCCCTTTGCAGGGACCCCCAGACATGCAGTGGGACCCCCGGTACAGCCGTCCCCCCAAAGGAGCGGGGAGGAGCCCCGGTGCTCTGGCCCCTGTCACCGTCCCGTTCCCAGCCCCGGCTCAAGCCCAACCTGGCTGCGGTTCAGGGGGCCCCAAAGTGGCCCCTTGGGTCGGGCTTTCCCTCCTTGGCAGCCCCCCGAGGGCTGCCCACGTGTCCCGGCGTTATCCTCATCGCTCTCATCCTTATGGGGTGGCACGTGGGGACGGTGTTGGGGTGGGGCGGGGGGATGGCATCGGGGTGGCCCCCAGCCGCGGAGGCAGCGGGAGGCTGGTGAGGAGCGCTTGGCAGCCGGGCAGGGTCAGGGCTGCTGGAAGACCAGCAAAGATCCCTGCAGCCGTCATGGAAAAAGAGGATAAACACGGAAAGAAACATGACTTTTTTTTTTTTTCTTTTTTGTTTTTTTAAATCCCATGTGTCGGGGCCTGATTTTTAAATCCCTTGGCATAACTCCCTGCCGGGAGCTGGGACCCGCGCGAGTAGGCTCTGGCATTTAGGAGCTCTGGTTTTTAGGAGAGCGTGTTGCAGAAAGCTGCTGTGCGATAACACCTTGAGTGGAGCTTTCCGGACCGGTGGCTTTGGGACGTGGCTTTGGGCAGGGAGAGCGGCCGCTCCGATGGGAAGGGAAACCCGAGCGCCGGATCCGGCACGCTCGCTTGCCGCTGCCTGACCTTGGCCGCGTCTGGCCGCCGTCCCCCTCCCCTGCGGACGGGGGCTTATGAGATCCGGTTCCTCTGCTCTGCCTTGGGATCGCTGGGATCTGCCTTTGGGATCGCTGCCGGTTTCCCAGAGGGAAATCCATCTGCGGGGTGTCAGCGCCGGCCCCGGGCATGTTTGCAGGTCAGACCCTGCTTGCAAACACCCATGGGTGACGGGGCACCCCCGAACCCCCGTGGGGCCCCCCAGCTCCTGCAGGATTCAGCACAGGGAGTCGCAGGAGCAGGATGTGACCGATGTTGCTGTGGTTTGTGCCCCCCCCCCCGCCCCGGTGCCACCCTGCTCCAAGGAGCCACGCCACCGGCAGCCCCCTCCTCTCCCCCCGCAGCAGCAGTGTGATTTCCCCGGGGCTTAGCCCAGGCCACCGCTGTGCCCGTGGGTCTCCCACCTCCTCCCGGTGCAGAAGAGCTGCTGTTTGGTTTTGCCTTCCAAGCCAGCGCCCGCCCAGCGCGGGGCTTGGCACCGTGCAGCCACGAAACCATGAAACTGCCCATAAAGAGGCAGGAAACCCGCTCCTGCTTTTGCCCTCCGGCACGTCACTGCCGAACGCCGGGGACAGAACCTGGGCGGGAGGAAAAGCCACAGCAGCTCCGGCTCGGTCCTGGGTGGGCTCTGCCCCCGTCCCCCCCCCGGCCAGGACACAGCGGGAGCATGAGCCCCCTCCCAGCTGAGTGCTGCAAAATCCTTCCCTGCATCTTCATTGCAGGAAAGCAAGGAAAACGATCTGCTTTATTTTATTTTATTGCCCCCCCCTCCCTGGGCTGGGCAAGGCGGCACTGCTGTCTGTGCCAGTGAATATTTAATTACAAAACACAATGCCTCAGCCCCCAGTGCTGCCTGCTGGGACAGATTGCTGCGGGGCGCATGCATGTTTATTTCCTCCCCCCTCCTAATTTATACTGTGCTATCAATCTTTAAAGCTTCAGTCTTCATTTCCTCTTTTTAAAGCCCAACTTTCCCCTTTCCTACCTCCTTCCCCTACACCGAACCCCCAGCCTGGCCTGCCTGTGGCCGCCCGTGCCGACGTGGAGGGGCCGGGGTGGGTGGCCGGAGCAAGCCATGCTCTGCGTAGGCGTCAGCAGGATGCCCAGTGTCTGCTGGGAGCCTGCAAGCCTTATAAATCTCTTCCCCTGACATCTCCCGGGCACTGGTTCGTGTCTAGGGCCGGCAATGCCGTGCAGACGATGTCATCCGGTGCGGTGCTGGGTTCCCCACCTGCCTTTGCAGCGGGGATTTTTCCCCCACTGATGCGGATCGCGGGCTCCCCAGCAGCTTGGGCACCTCTGCAGCCACTCCTGCAGCCCGTGGAGGACGGATTTTAGCCCCCCTGTGTTTTAATCCCTGGAGCACCCGATGCCCCAGCGCTGCAAGGGCAGCTTCGTGGCACCCTGCGTCCCAGGGGATGTGGAGCAGCCCGCGTGCTCGAAACATCCCCATGTCGGGGACAAGGTTTTCCTGCTGCTGGCATCAGCTCCCGTCTGAAGCCTGTCCCGCGTTGCTGGGCATGGCTCAGGTGGGCAGATGTTCTCTTTCTGCCTGCGTGCTCCCTGCCCGCTTGATGGTTTGCATAAGGCAGGAAATGTCAGCAACAGGCTCCGGTTAATGGCGCTTCATCCACCACTTTCATTAAAGCCCCCTCAGGAGGGCGGCTGGAGATGGGAGCAGGCAGGCAGAAAGCTGCCCTTAGCAACCTGCCAGCACCACGCGTGGCCCGAAATGGTTGGGGGTGCCTCGGGATGGGGATGCCAGCGCGGTGCTTGGGACACGCAGCCCAGAGAAAAACCCTGCAGCCGTGTTTTGCAGGGCAGGGAGCACCCCAAACCCTTTTAATCCCCCCCAGCAGCTGGCGCTCAGCCTTCCTGGTTTTGGGATGGGGAAATCGCTCCGTGCTCGGGATCCCCAAACCCCCACCCATGCGCTTTCCCCCTCTCCGGGACACTCGCAGCTGGCTGACGAAGGCTGCCAGGACCAGCGTTAATGAGTAACCACGCTCAGAGCGGGCTGCTCCGTGCTGGCTGTGTGCGGGACGGGAGCCACAAACTTTTCACCCTCC